CAGGAATAGCATGAACATATTCATTTCAGGGTATCCAGAAGAACAGTGAACAAAAGACTGACCAAACAAAGTTATTTTGCAAGAAAGGTTATTCGTAAACTCACTGCCGTCACCGTGTTACTTGGGTAAGACAGCATGCCAACTTACAGTTAGGACACTGACGACATTTCATCTTTTCAGATGAGTCCTTTTTCCGGTTTGTTAAAGCTCATGGTAGGACTCGTGTTCGTCATTTGCCTGGAGAACAGACGAGGGAAGACTATCTTGTACATAGGAAACATACAGGAGGTGGTGCAGTACATGTTTGGGCAGCTTTTTTATCATGGTGGAAAACTGCTCTTCGTATCCTCCAGGAAAACGTCAATGATGCCTCTTACAGACATCACATGGAGACGATATTTCTGCCATATGCTAGGGCAAGGTTTGGAAATAACTTTGTGTTCCAGGATGACAATTCCACTGCCCACAATGGCGTATTGTACAGGATTATCTCGTCGAGGAGGATGTTACAAGATTGCCATGGCCAGCAAAGTCTCCAGATTGTAATTCCATTGAGAACTATTGGGCTAAACTCAGTCGGAAAATCGCTAACCACGACACTAAACCAACTAATGTAGCTGAGTTGCAGAGCATTCTAGTGACAAGTTGGGATGAAATCTTGGTGGATTACATCAATAACCTCATCGACAGCATGCCACGTCGCTTAGCGGATGTTATTAGAGTACGATGAGGACCAACCAAGTACTGAATATTTGATATGAAATGATATATAATTACAGACGCTATTTATAATTATTTGATGTGATATTTTGTCAATATATAAGTTTTGGTAAAGTTTTGTTGTGATAGGTGAAATGCTGAATTACACGTCTTTTTACAGGTGCCTGACAAAGTTGTTTGTTATTCTAATAAATCATTCACGATGTCCACAAAACCTGTCTCACTATACAAATTACATATGTAGATGTGTAATATAACATGCAGTTCTCAGTTTGACAGCGCTATGTGTATTTATGTTCCATCCTAATAATAATGATTTTATTTGTTACAAAATATGCAAATAGTTTGGCCAAGACTGTACAAACAATAAAAATATTTCCTTAAATAACTAATGTACTCTTCTCGAAAACCTACAGTTACTCTTTCTTTATTTAAGCGTAACCACTTATAGAGAAAATAAATTGAAATAATTCATTTTACAATTATAAAAATGTATTATCTTTCTACTGATCAGATACCCGTATATATCAAATTTATGGCCTCCTCAAAACTCACAAACCTGGCTTCCCCTTCGCCCTAATATTTCGACATACAAAACTTACGACTATGTACAACCTTGGAAAATTCCTCGTTTGAATGTTTTCTAACTATGTTTCTCGAACTACCTCTTCCATAAACATTCTGAAATGTTTATCAAAAAACTCTGAGAATTCAGTCATTTTGTTCAATTAGTCACACTTAATTTACAAGATTTGGTTTACTCAAGTCCTCGTTCTTGAAGAAATAAATGCTGCCCTGGAATGTTAACAAAACGATTCTAATACTCGTTTTCGCCTAAACATCAATTCTATAAAAACTGTTTCTCTTTGCCGCTAAATCTTTCATTTTCCAGTTTTAAGATGTGAATTACATCCAAAATGAAGGCCTAACTATGTGAAATCCTATAGCTCCTGTACTTGCCAATATATTCATGGTACGAATTGAAGACATAACCATCTCAAATTCACTTAACAAAACCAGTTTCTTGGTTTCGATATGTTCATGACTTTTTTTTTTACTTGACATCGATTATAACTTTCTCTCGTTTAAGCCAGACAGATTCATAAGAATTCACGATGGAAAGCAAGTTGATGAGAAATTGTTACTCTAAGATATTCTTTTTAAAAAGACAAACACAGGCTTCCAAACCTTCGTATTTCATAAGAACACTGACACTGGACTTCATATTCATTGGAATTCCCTTCATGACCAATACCAAGAGTTGTGTATATTAAAAACCGCTGTCCGTATAAATAAAATCATACGTTCCAATTTCGATTATTTCAAAAAAAGAAAATGATAACCTTAGGTTTAATTTTTGTGTTCAAACAATTTCTTTCTCACTGTTGCTTAATGAAGTAATTGCTTCCTTTGAAAATAAGCTACAAAATGATCTACCAAACTTACCCCTGTTTATTGTTTTACCTTTCATCCCAAACTACTTTCATGCAATAAAAAAAATGTGGTTAAAAACAGTCAGATAGTATAATGTTAATATTGAAATACAAGTTAAATTTCTACCTGGGAAAAAATAGGTAATTTGATATCCAAAAAGTATATTGACAATTATACTTCAGGAAATGCGTATGTAAATAGAATGTACAGATTGCAAATGCTGTTATATTGGAGAGACAAGCAGACGGCTTTCTACTCGTTTGCGGGAACATTTAAAATCTCCATCTCATATTTTTTGAACACATTTCTAGGAGCAGCTATTATTTTTATTATTCAAAGGCAAAAAGTATTCAGCAGAGAAGATAGCATTAACAGATGAAAATAAGAAAAGCCTTGTCAATAAAACAAACAAATTATAATCATAATATATACAAAGGTGATCCGTTTATGTCTATTTTAGTCGCTCTATTTCGTGTTCCCCAGTGGCTCAGCGGTATGTTTGCGGAATTACAACTCTAAAA